CTCTCTCCAAGGCCAGTACATCTTTCCTTAGATGCAGAGCTCACAATTTGACCAGAGCTTTATACAGCATCAGCTGTTGTACTCTACCCTAACATTGTATTCTGTGCTAATATTGCATTTGTCTTCCTAATTGACAACTGAACCTGCATGTTAACCTTAAGAGAATCCTTAACTAAGACTTCTAAGTCCCTTTGTGCTTCAGATTTCCAAAGCCTTTTCCTATTTAGAAAATAGTGTACACCTCTGTTCCACCTACCAAAGTGCATAACTGCACACTTTTCCACATGGTATTCCATGTGCTACTTCTTTGCATACTCCCCTAGTCTGCCCAAACCTTCCTGTAGCCTCCCCAGGTCCTCAATGCCACCCATTTCTCCACCTACCTTTGTGTCGTCTGCATTGTTGCAATAATATCCTCAGTTACTTTGCCCAGATCATTAATGTATAACATGAATAATTGTGGTCCCAACATTGATCCTTGCAGAACTTCACTAGTCACTGGCTGCCATCCTGAAAAAGATCCCTTTATCTCCACTCTCTGACTTGGTCAGCCAATCCTCTGAGTATGCCAATACCTTCTCCCTTACACCATAGACTCTTATCCTATTTAGCAGTGTCCTGTGCAGCACCTTGTCAATGGCCTTCTAGAAATCCAAATATGTCATGTCCACTGGCTCTCCTTTGTCTAACCTGCTTGTTATCTTCTCAAAGAATTCTAACAGAGTTTTCAGGCATGACCACCTCTTGACGAAGCCATGCTGACTGAGCCCTATTTTACTATGCACTTCCATGCACTCTGCAATCTCATCCTTAATAAGGGACTCTAAAATCTTACCAATAATTGAAGCAAAGCTAATCGGCCTATAATTTCCCATCTTAAGACATCCTCCGTTCTTAAACAGGGATGTTACATTAGCCATTGTCCAGTCCCCCGACTCCAGTGATTCCTGAACAATCACTACTAAAGCCTCCACAATCTCCTCAGCTATGCCCTTCAGGACACTGGGGTTCATCCATCTGGTCTGGGTGATTTGTCCACCTTCAGACTTTTCAGCTTCCCCATCACCTTCTCCTTAGTGATGGCCACTACACACACCTCTTCCTCTGACTCTCCTGAAATTCTGATACGCTTTTGGCATCTTCTACCATGAAAATCAATCCAAAATACCTATTCAGTTCCTTGCCATTTCTTTGTTGCCCATTACTACTTCTTCAAACTCATTTTCCAGTGGTCCAATGTCCACTCTTGTTTCTCACTTAACTTTTATATATCTAAAACAAAACTCATGTAACCTTCATTTATACAACTGGTCAAGCTACCCTCATACTTCATCTTCTCACTACCCTATTGCTTTTTTTTTGGTTGTCCTCTGCTCATTTTTAAAGGCTTCCCAATCTTCTGGCTTGCTACTAATCTTCACCACATTGTATGCTTTTTCTTTTGCTTTTATACTGTCCCTGACTTCCCTTGTCAGCCATGGTTGCCTTGTCTCCCCTATAGTGTGTTTCTTCTTCCTTGGGATGAATTTCTGCTGTGCCCCATGAATTACCCCTAGAAATTCCTTCTATTTCTGCCCTGTGTCTTCCCTGCTAGGCTTCCCTTCCAATCAACTGTAGCCAACACCTCTTATCTCTTTATAGTTACATTTACTGAGTTATAATACCGTTACATCTCCCTCTCAAGCTGCAGGGTGAATTTTATCATATTGTGGTCACTGGCCCCTAGGGGTTTCTTCACTTTAAGCTCCCTAATCAAGTCTGCCTCATTCCAGATCACCAAATCCAGAATTCCCTGTTTCTTCATAGGCTCTACCACAAGTTGTTCCAAAACAAAACATCTCATTGATATTCCACAAATTCTTTTTCTTGGGATCCAGTACCAACATGATTTTTCCAGCCCACCTGCATATTGAAGTCCTCCATGATTATTGTAGTAGTGCCTTTCTTACAAGTCTTTTCTATCTCCTGCTTTATTTTCTGCCCTACATCCTGACTACTGCCAGGGAACCTTTAAATAATTCCCATCAGGTTTGCTTTTCCTTTGTGGCTCCTCAACTCTACCTGCATAGACTCTATGCCTTCCAACTCTATATCTCTTCTTGCTATCAATTTAATTTCATTTCTCAATAACAACCTACCCTTGGCCCCCCTTCTGTCCATCTGCCTGTCCTTTCAAAACCACTTCTCAAAACCACAAAGCCATTCCGCAAAACTCTGGGCCGGGAGGGACAGTGCCACACTAGATCTATCCTTGTCATATTGTTTCAGTTTGTATGGTTTGTAACAGGAGATGAGAAGATTGTGAGCTTGATTCCTGAAGAAAGACTTCATCTCATTGTATAATACTCTAGTACAATGCTAAGCGAGTGCTCCATTGTAAGAAGGACTGCGCACCAAATACATCAACAGGATGTTCTGTCTGCTTGTTGAGAAGTAGATTTTCTTTATTCACTCACAGGATGAGGGCGTTGCTGGCTAGGCAGCATTTATTGTCCATCCCTAATTGGCCAGAGGACAGTTTGGAGTCAACCACATTGCAGTGGGTCTGGAGTCACATGTAGGCCAGACCAGGTAAGGATGGCAGATTTTCCTTCTCTAAAGGACATTAGTGAACCAGATGGGCTTTTCCTGACAATCGACAATGGGTTCATGGTATCCATTTGATCCTTAATTCCAGATATTTTTTATTGAATTCCTGTGGCAGAATTCGAAACTGGGTCCCCAGAACACTATCTGGGTCTCTGGATTAATAGTCCAACGATAATACCACTGCTTGCCCCGATTCAATAAGCCACAACATTTTTTGAAGGACACTGCAAGTTTCCTCATCAGCATTCCTTCTTCCTAATCCTACTAAAAGTCCAGTTAATGGATCATTGATCTAATGGCTGGTGTAGATTGGCCATGATGTTTGACATGCCCAGTAACACTCTCATCTCTAGGTCAGGAGGGTGCAGTTTTCAAAACCTCTTCAGAGACTTGAAAACATAAGCGATGGACAACATTTCAGTGCAGTACTGAGGGAGTGCTACATTGCACAAAATACCTCCTTTTAGAAGAGATAGTAAACATACGCTGTCACATTCAAACATTAAACTACCATAGCACTTTCCAAATAAGAGCAGAAGAGCTTTCAACTTTAGCCCTAACCTACCAAAACCAGACTGTTGCATTGCCTCTTGTGTGGTCTTACTGTGTACAAACTGGTTGCTTTATTTCCAACATTTCAACAGTGAGTACACGTACACAACTTCATTGGCTGTAAGTGCTTTGGTGCACTCTAACATTTCAAAGGCACTATATAAATGCAAATTAATCATTTAAAAGATAATTTGATGGAGAAATTATTTTGATATCTTTGCCAAAGCTGCCAAGCAAAAGTACCAGCTTCTCAGTCACAGTAATGTCAAAAAAAATTCCATGCAGTCTGCCATTTATTCAATCTAGGTATTGAACCAATTTTGAGAGATTTTAGCTGGAGAAAATCTTAGCTTGGCGCAACTTTGTTACCATCCTGGCTGATGGTAATATTGAACAAGTCAGGTCCCAGAGTGGAACCTGGATTGATAGATCATAAGTTTTATTTTTGCTATTTGTTTAGCCTAGTGTTTACTTACTGAACATATTTCCAAGAGGCTGCCAATGTACTTTGAACAAAAGAACATACGAACAAAAAGAAAGAACTCTAAACAATGTGACATTATACAAGAACGAGTTAAAATGGTCATAGTATAAATATCAGAAATAGAGGTCCAACCTGTTTAGCCTTAACAGTAACCTTACAGATACTCAATCCTCAGTGAAGGGTCATCATTTCTCTACTGTAAAATTCCTTGTTAAATTGGCATGGCTATAATAGCATTTTTTTTTGAAAAACCTTTGCATTCACTCATTTTTTCCAGTTAATGCCTCATTCTGCCTGAGAGCCTTAAATGAGCTGCTTCCACAGGTCACTGACATTTTAACCTGCGTTCCTTAAAGCCATGCATTCAAAAACTTGAAAGAAGTCTTCCTCCTTGATATCTTAAATTGTTTCAGCTTCTGGAAATGCTTTTTTATAACTTCTCAACTTCTCAGAGCTTCATTTCTTCTTCCCTGACAATTTTGGAGACTGCCAAACAATGCTGCTGCTATTACAGGCCTTTTCTCTCTGAATGACCTGTTTCTCTCTGAAGGAAACCTGCAGCCTACTTCATGAGTGAACTTGTATCTGTATCCGCGTTCCTATGTCATAGGAATTCTTTTTTAGTTAACTTTAGTCTGCGGGCCTTTTTTTTTCTCTCTCTTCTACTCTTATTTCCATAGGCATTGACCAGTTCACCTCAAGCATTTTAAAAACACACCTTAAAATGCAGGTAAACAAACCTTTAGATAGCCCAGTACCACTCACAGAACTCAAAAACGAAAGTGAAACTCTGGACAGAATTTTCCCTTCCATAGTGTGGCATAAATTAGGGTGAGAAAGGTGGGGAAATATGATGAGAAGGAAGAAATTTGATTCTTGTGTCTACTTTTCTGACGTTCCACTCAAGCCCTTAGTAGTGACTTCAGAATCTTATGATCAAATGGTAAATACTTTATGTGTATGCATTTGCATCTTACCCACCTCACCTTATTTATATAGCCATTTCCAATTCCTCTCTCGTTCATCAAGAAATAAGAATAAATTTTCAAAGTATGAATCAGAACAGGTACCTGGCAGCAAAGCTGGCTCTGTACTTGTCTGGACACTATGCAATTGTTTTTTTCAGAACAAAGTCACAGCGTGTTCCATGCTCCCACCCTCTTCAGCCTGTCATCGAGACAAGTTGGCATCATTAAACCACCAGCCTCATTACATCAACGTAAATAAATTAGACACCACTTCAGTGCTTCAAATGCTTTATTTTGGAGCTCAGCGATGCCTAAGATTTGAATGCTTTGGCCAGACCGATCTGCATAAGAGAACAGCCTGGCATATTAACAGGATGCTTCGCGTTCACACGGATTCACATGTCTTACAGCTCTTACCTTGTTAGCCTACTGCTCACTCACTTTGCCATTCACTTGGAGGTTGCCAGTCTCTGTGTACTTCACATTGCTTTCCTTGGTACTCTCACTGACTTCAGCACCGACTTCTCGGCTGCCAGCCTCAGTGCATTGGTTTATAGTGCAGATGGATAGGCAAACTATTTGTCACCCTGGGGGGCACTGAACATTCAATCCATCAGTCAACTAGCAGGTGTAAATGTGCATCAGACCTGCAGCATGTGCCAGCAGTTTACATGGGACACAAGCATGTGTTTCAAGCAAATAACCATGACAAAATGTCAAAGAGCAGCAGATGGTTGTGGAGAAGGGCACTTCTGAAGGTCAGGAGCTACTGCAGCAGTCAGTCAATGGGCTCACCCCATGCCAGTCCAGATCAGTCAGGCATTTGGTCTTACCTGAAACTGGAAACCCATTTCCTTGCAGACCAAGGATTGGGCATGGGTCAAATAAGCAGATCAAGCGCACGGCATCTGGGGATTACACACAGGGTCAAAGGACTGAAATCAGGGGCCCCTGTGCTGATCCTGGCCCAGGTCCCAAATGCAAACTCAGCAGGCAAAAGGCCTGCCCCCCCCAATCCAAACAGAGTCACTCCACCCCCAACCCGAGCACAGTGACCCCACCCTCAATCCCAGCACAGCAACCCCACCGGCAATCCCAGCACAGCAGCCACACCACCAATCCCAGCACAGCAACCACACCTCCAATCCCAGCACAGTGACCCC